TGTTTGTTATTGTGCTGCCTTTGAATTTTTTGGCTGCTAAGAGACATTGGATTATGGAAACTGCTGAATTAAACCAACCTATATATTTTAAAAAACATCTTGACTTCAAAATTTAAGTAAAAAAAAAATGTTTCTTTGGGAGAGAGGTTATCCTTTTCTTTCCAAATGAAATAAAAGGCTGTAGATTCATTCAAAGTTAAAGATGATCAGGTTTGATTGAGGAAGACCCCTGAAATCCTGAATACAGACATAAAAAAATAAATCTAAAAGAACTACAAGACACGTAATGTATATCTTACCTGCTCAGACACATAACAGAAAATCATCTCTGGCTGACTTGTGTACAATGTACAGTCTATACTTGTATTGATACAGATATGTATGTTACCTTTAAAAGTTTGTGTATTTTCAGAGCAAGGGGACCAGACTCCAGTGAAAATGATGACCCAGGTGATCCAGCAACCAGGACAGCTTCCAGGCTGCTGACTAAGATGATCCAACCTCACAGAATATTACAGCTAAGACTTATTAATTATCCTGATTTTCTCAGGGTCCCCAAAAGATTACCAGCACCCCCAACCAGCAGGAAGTAGTTTAGAAAACTATACCCACATTCCCAAAATATTGGCTATAAATGTTTGTTTTCATTTCAGGGGGTTTGGTTACAAATTGTTATTGGTCATAGTAAAAAAAAAACTAAATTCAGAGATCTCTTTCTAAAAGAAGAAAGGGGGATATGATATAGAAATGATGGGGGGAAAGGGTAGATTATTGAATCTACTTTAGTTAAAAAAACTATAGTTAATCTCAAAAGTATTTTGCATTGACATGGATTCAGTTTATTGATACAAACTTTAAGTTATTTTTGTTATACTGTATGTATATTTCTACTCTTGTTTAAGGTGTTTATGCAGCTCAAAAAATGTAATGTATAATTAAGAAATACCAATTAATAGTCATCTATAATAGTCAAACTTATAGTCATGTTAGTTAGGTTTTCTAGATAGGTAATCTTCAAACACTTAAAAGACCTACAGAGTATAGCATTTAAAATATTTTAATAACTGAGACTTTTTATGATAGTGAGATACATCTGCTCCTGGCAGCACCAATGCACTTCAGAGATGATGATGGGCATCCAAGAAACTCCATAAAGCCGGGCGGTGGTGGCGCACGCCTTTAATTCCAGCACTCGGGAGGCAGAGCCAGGCGGATCTCTGTGAGTTCGAGGCCAGCCTGGGCTACCAAGCGAGTCCCAGGAAAGGCGCAAAGCTACACAAAGAAACCCTGTCTCGAAAAACCAAAAAAAAAAAAAAAAAAGAAACTCCATATGGAGTTTATTTTCTTTATGGCAAAAGCTAGCCGTTGCCTCATTACAGACAGTTATGTCCAAACTGGACCAGCAGGACACAAAAAAGGCAATTGCTGAACTTTGCCAAGACAAGGTAGGACAATCCTTCAAAATTCCCTGCTTCACAGGAAAGTCTGCCAGATATTCTAGGCCTGTAGGCCAGAGTTGGATGCCCCAACGTTACAGAAGAACTTTGGGTGACTGTCCAGGCAGCAGTATGTCCCTGTCATTAGGTAACATGTCACCCTTCTGGGGTTTTTGATTGAGTGAAGACTAGGTTGTCATAGTCATAGTTCTTCTTAGTTATAATAAAAGGTAAATTAGATAGATATAAAACTTTAGACTCACCAAGGTAAGATAGATAATAAAATATTTTCTCTAATTTTGCCAAATACAAATGGACTGGACATCGTAACTATAATTCTCAACTATTTTTGTTATATATAACCTTGCTATGTTAAAGTTAAAACCTTCCTTTTTAATTAGACAAAAAAGGGGAAATGCTGTGGAATAATCCTTCTGTATGCTGTGAATATGTACTACTATCATCAGTTAATAAAAAGAAAAAAGGCCAATTGGCTATAGCAAGGCAGAATAAGGCTAGGCAGGAAAGCCAAACTGAAAATTCTGGGAGGAAGAAAAGCAGAGTCAGAGAGACATGAGACACCTGCCCAGGAAGCAAGAGATGTTAGAGGACAGGTAAAGCCACGAGCCACATGGCAATACATAGATGAATAGAAATAGGTTAATTTAAATGTAAGAGTTAGTTAATAATAACCTGAGCTATTGGCCAAGTATTTGTAATTAATATAAGCCTCTGTGTGTTTATTTTGGGAACTGGCAGGTGGGAGAGAAACGTCTGACTACAAGAAATGACTGCTGTGCCTTTTATTTTAAAAAACACATGACCCACTTAAGAGGTTCAAGCTATGATGCTTACAGACTGGTGAGTCCAATACAGAGCGAGGGGGCTGACCATGAAGACAATGCCAGAACTGGCACTGCCCAGATGGTGCTCAGAATGTTCCAGAATGAAATGTTCTTAACCAACAGTGCATTTGGAGAGTAGAAAATAGTACAGCCATTTTTGAAACCAGTTGGGTAGTCCCCGCAAAAGTCGGAGACTCAGCTTGTGGCCCAGAAACTCTACTCCAGGGAACATATGGATCCAAAATCAAAAGCAAATGCTCAGGCTGGGAAGCAGCTTAGAGGAAGAGCACTCACCTAGCATGCATGAGGCCCAGAGCAGGCATGCACGCTCACACGCTTACACACACACACACACACACACACACACACACGCACATGTGCACGCACCTATGACAAACGTTGACAGCTGCATTAGCCTAACAGCCAAAAAGCAGAAACAACCTAATGTCCATCAGCTGAGAAATAAAGAATGTGGAACACTACCTATTCAGCACTTGAACCAGACGAATCCTGATACTAGAGCACAGGCCTTGGTGTTCAGATATATGAAACGAAGAGGCTAGCTATGAGAACCACATATTCCGGGACTCCCTTGGCAGGAAGTGTCCAGGACAGATGTATTCTCGGTCAGAAAGTGCAATAGAGAGGCTACCAGGGTGGGGAAGGGAGGGAGGGAGGGATCGAGAAACTGCTGATGAACCTGGCTCAGCTCAATGGAGAGGTCCTAGACGGAGGGGCCCTGTGAACTCTGGCAAGCCCGGAATGGGGCATCTTCAGGGTGGGTGAATCACATCTTGCTGAAGGTGTGGTTGAGAAGTCAGTGCTCTGGACATCCCTTTATAAAGTGAGCGGTTGGCACCAGGCAGGCGAAGTTCCTGTGTTCCAAGCAGGACTCCTCCCCGCCCCCCACCCCCCAACCCGTGCTCACCTGTGCAGCCATAGTTGTAGATGTTAAACGTCAGCGTGTCCATAATGTTCTTCAGTCTCTTGATGAGGATGGAGTCAGGCAGCGACTTCTTCAGTGACAGCCCAAAGACCTCCAGGAAGGCAATGAGGGAGTACTGGTACATGGAGTTGACCAGTGCCATCTCCGACAGCACGAAGAACAGAATGGCGCCCCGCCGCGCCGCCGGCCGGTAACCATCCCGCAGCCTGTCGATGTCCAGAGCTGTCTTCTCCGCCAGCTTCAGCTTCTCTGATACCTGCAGAAAGCCCTCGGTTACCATGGAAACAGGGAGGCGATGGATGACAGCCTGGAAGGCCTGGGGTGGTAGAAGGCGGAGCGTGGGGCACAAAAGGGACCACGAAGTGCTCCCTGGAGTTGACGGTCACCAGGGCCTGCAGGGACCTTGAACTTGAACCCGAGGGGACCTCAGGCCATGTCCTTCCAGGCAGAGACTGGAAGAAGAGGAAGTCAACTCAAAGCCCAGCACATAAATGGAGGGATACGGAATCTACACCGTACTTTTGGATCCTGGATCCAGCCTCACCTGAAGCTATCATTACACCTCTCTGCTTTTGAGCTGATACCATCCCTTTTTATTTAGAGTAGGCAAGGCTAGGGTTTCCATGCCTCTCAATTCAAGAAGATTACCCAGCTGCATAGGAGTGCCCCCACCCTCCCCTAGCACAGCCCCCTATTGGTGGCCCTTCCTTTTAATTTAATATTTATTTTATGTAAGTATTTTGCCTGGTGCCTGTGGAGGCCATGAGAGGGCATTGGATCCCCTGGAACTGGAGTTACAGAGGGTGGTGAGTTGCCGTGCGGGTGCTGCGAACTGAACCCGGGGCCTCTGGAAGAGCAGCCAATGCTCTTAACTGCTCAGTCATCTCCCCAGCGCCAAGGTGGCCTTTTCTTGTCAGGTGAGAAGAGGTGACACAAGCCTGGCGCTTCTCCCCTACGTGTTAGACCCAAGGCTGAGACTGAGCCCCCGGGACCACTGGCGTGGAGCTAGAAGGTGACAGGGCCCCTCCCGCCTTCACAGAGGTAGGCACCTCCGTAGCTTTGGACTTGGTCTCTTCCAGGGTGTGCACCAGCTCCACATTGTCCAGCATGTTCCCCGTGGACGTGGCCAGCTCCCGCAGGAGTGAGTCCTCCAGGTCCTTCAGCAGGTTCTTGTTCTCGCTCGTCTCCTGGATGAGGTGCTCTCTCTGCTCCTCCAGCTCCCGCCTCTCGTAGGCCACCAGCACGCTCAGCAGCTGGTCCTCCAGGCCCTTCAGTGTGACTGAGAGGACCAAGAGCCCTCACTGCACACCCTAGAGTCCAGGCTAGGAATACCCAGGCACCTAAACTTGCTGCCTTCCAAAGTATCCAGGCTTTGGGGGCGGGGGGGGGGGAGTTCACCCACACCTTAAGAATGGACCAGCAAAGACAACTTCCAGGGAAAGACCAGGGCCACCAGGTGACAAGGTGCCCAGGAAGCCTCACTCTCAAGGTAGGGGGCCCTGGACACTTGCAGCCGGATCTGTCCCTTCTTACCAGTGTAGTTGATGACCATGGCCTTCCCAAACACCGACGGGGAGTATCTGGGATTGGCCAGCTTGGTGTTGAGGTACAGTCGGAAGTTGGTGTCATAGTCAACCTCCTTGTCCCCCAGGATGATGAACTGGCGGCCTTGGGTGGACTTGATATTCTTCTCCAGGACATTGTCAATCACAGGGTCGATATATTCATCCACATCATGGAACAGGAAGGGGGTCCCATACTTTATGGACATCTCCAGCTGCTTGAGGAAGTCAGGGTCATTGAAGGAGGCAACCTGCAGGAAAGAGGCGGGAGCTGGGGTGAGCCATGCCTAATGGCTCTCCCACACAGCGAGCGGAGGGAGAGCACACACCAGGAACTTCAGAAGCCAGAGGTAACCAAGAGAGTCAAGAGGGAGGCAAAGCCTAGGAAAAAACAGAAAACCACTAATGAGTCCCAGCAATCCCACTCTTGGGTGTATGCCCTGGAGGACCATGAATGTGGGCACAGCCAGGGCTGGTGAGGTGGCTCAGTGGGTAAAGGCACTTGCCCATGCAAGCCTGAGTTCAGTCCCTAGCACTCACATGCTAGATGGAGAGAATCAAATCCACAAAGTTGTCCTCCGACTGCGACATGCATGACCCCCCCCCGAAACATACATAAAAAAAAAGTGTGCATACAAATGTCCATAGCAGCACCAGAAAGTGGAAATAACCCAGATGTTCTTCAACTGTTGATGGATCAAGACATTTGGTATGTCCACACAAAGGAATATTATACAACTGTAAAGAGGGACATAGCACCCGTTGTGGAATATTAGTTGAAGATGTGTTACACTTGTTTACGCTGTAGAATATTTGTTTAATGATGCAAAGATGTGTTGCATTCTTTTATGTTGCATTTGTCTAACTCTGTGAAGCTGTGTTACTGTGCCTGTCTAAAACACCTGATGGTCTAATAAAGAGCTGAACGGCCAATAGCGAGGCAGGAGGAGGATAGGTGGGGCTGGCAGGCTGAGAGAATAAATAGACGGAGGGAAAAAAGAAAAGGAACGAGAAAAAGAAGAGAAAGGGATGACAGGGGCCAGCCACCCAGCCACCCAGCCAGACACAGAACAAAAAGAAAACAAAAGATACACAGAAATAGAAAAAGATAAAAGCCTAGAGGCAAAAGGCAGATGGGATAATTTAAGCTGGCTAGAAACAAGCCAAGCTAAGGCCAGGCATTCCTAAGTAAGCATAAGACTCCGTGTATTTGGCAGCTGGGTGGCAGGCCCCCAAAGAGTAAAGAGCTAAAGAACATTCAACCACAAACACCCACACCTGCTACAGCATGGTCGAACCCCTACAGCGTAAAAGAAACCAGTTACAAAAGACTAACTACTACCGTATGGTCCTATCCCTAGGAGATATCCAGAACAGGCAAAGCCATGGAGACAGGAAACATTAGCAGCTGCCAGGGGCTAGGGAGCAGCCAGCTGGGACAAGCACTGTTGTTCTTGGTGGGGGTAGGGATGGAGGTAATAAAAATATTCTAAGCTGAGTCTTAACTGTTCCAGGTCTCTGAAAATATGCTAAAAAGCCACAGAAGTTTCTGTTTTGAATGAGTGAGAGACTGCTAAGTGAGTCACATCCCAGTGAAGCGGTCACCTCCGCCTCCCTTCCCCACCAGCTCCTCCCGCCACCCAGGCTCCACCCCCCCTGCATCTCCCTCCCCCCCCACACACACAGTGGAGCATCTTGGGCCACCAAGCCCTGATCTGGGCTGAAGGCGATAAAGACAGAAGGCATGGTCTTCGTCATAAAGATGTTCTCAGCCTGAACCCCTGAGCAGGGGGTGGGGGAGGAAGGGGAAAGGGGTTCTTCGGGCCTCGGGTGGAGTTCAGGGTGGAGCATGGGGCAGGGCTCTTGGGCAAAGGGGCCACACCCTCAGGTTGTTCTTTTCCTCCTTTCTCTTGATCCAGTTGAGGGCCTGCTGCTGGGGGTCGATGCAGAGCGGGAAGCGGCTGGCCCGGGTGGTAAGGATGCCGTTCTGAACCGAGAGCTCATCGGGGGGAAGGCCCTGGGAACCCCACCTGCAAGGGACGACCACAGGGAGATGGACGTTCCCCCACCAAGTGGTAAGCCCAAGGCTGGAGGTCACAGGGTCAGCATTCTAGAATAACCCGTGACCTTGCTCAGAGTGGCCGAGCCTCCTAGGCCTGCAGCCCCACCCCCCACCCCCAGGTGACACCCATGCAGGCCCCTCTGGGATAGGGGAGTACCTGCTGATCTCCACATCGTCTGTGAGGAGGTTCTCCAGTCGGAAAGGGTGGCTCAGGGGGATTTCTCGATCCAGGATGTCGTTCTGCCACACCTGGTTGACCATCTCGTCACGAAACTCCCAGGTGAAGGCGCCCTCGTAGCTCAAGAAGGCTGCACAGAGCAGGCAGTCGCCCAGCAGCTTCACCCGCCGGTGCATTAGCTCATCCAGGTCATTGAGCCACCTGCATGGGACCGGGAAGCCGCCGCGCTGAGCAGCTCCCATCTGGCCATGACCGATGGAAGCCTGCTGCGGACTCCTTTAGTCCTTGGGACTAAAGTTTGTACAGATTATGGTTCTGCTCATGAGGCGGGTGATGACTCTCACCTGACATTTTCTGATCCCAGACCAGAGATGAGCTTGTCGGCCGCGATCAGCCGCCTCTCCATGATCTCTGCCTCCTCCTGCAGCTTCTGCTTCTCCAGGATGGCGGCCTCGTACTTGGCCCCCAGAGCCTCCAGCTCCCTCTGGATCGCCGACAGCTCATTCTGGATCCGTTCTAGCTCCCGTTTGGTTAGGTAGAAATTCCGCTCCAGCCTGGCCACCTGGGTGAAGATAGTGAGCAGAAGGATGGCAGAGGGCCGGCCATCTCCACTTACATCCGTGCTTCTCAGCCTTCCTAACGCTGCGACCCTTTAACACAGTTCCTCAGGTGGCGGTGACCCCCCCATAAAATTGTTTTCATTGCTACTTCGTAACTAGTTTTGTTACTGTTATGAATTGTTATGTAAATACCCGTGTTTTCTGATGGTCTTAGGTGACCCCTGTGAAAGGGTCGTTTGAACCTCAACGGGGCCACGACCCACAGATTGAGAACTGGACTATTAACCTACATGAAGCTGGTGGGCAGACAGCAAAGGGTCTCATTCCCAAGGGTGTTCCTACTGTGCCTCCATACACTGTGAGGCCACCATCTGCTACATCAAGACACATGGCGCTGTGTGTGTGTGTGTGTGTGTGTGTGTGTGTGTGTGTGTGTGTGTAAAACAGTATGTGCCAAATATTCTACGAATCACAGGATGTCCCTGGCAGGAGGGAGAAGCCGTCCTTACAGCCCCCAGAGCAGAGGCTAAAGAGCCACCACAGCTGGGGGTGGGCTGTAGCCATCTCTACACTGTACACGGCTCTCAACCCTGTCTGTCTGCCTGCCGTGTGAGTGAGAGCAGCGGCCAGGCTCCTAAGTCTTTATGTGGTTTCAGGTTAGAACTTGGCAGAATTTTCCAGAAGCATTATGGACACTCTGATCCCGGGGTGGACTCAGGGCAGTGAGGCCTCGGCTCACCTTCTCTCTTTTGGGCTTGATCTCACGGAACACATCACAGTACCCCATGACGGCCTCCACAAACTTCAGCATCCCCAGCCCCGCCTTGCTCACGGCCTCCATCTCCTCAATTGTGGTGTTCAGAGTTTTCAGGAGGCCTAGAGGTCAAACACAGTGACTGTCAAGCTCCCTCTCAGGGCAGATAAAACTGGAAACACGTTGCCTATGGACAGAGGAAGTGTCTCAAGTGCCCACTCCTCAGGGTCCTGCAGCGTGGAGTTTCTCAAGTGTGGGGTTGAAGGTGGATTTGAAGGGTAAAAACCACAGTCACCTGGGACTCCATGTGACCTCACATGACCCAGAGGACCCACCAGACACCCTCCAAGCTCTGGCAACCAGGAGCACTTAGAGAGCTCAGACAAGCAGCTGACTGGGATTCAGAAGCTGTGGGTGGGTCCCTACCACCACCCCAGCAATGTTACGGAAGTGGAAGCCTGCCCAGTGGTACCCAGGTGCAGGGGAACTTGGGATTTCATAGTTCATTAGTGTCTGTGTTTAACTTAAGGGACTGTGAAAGGGCATTTGGTAGTGAGAGTCTTTCTGCTTTCTTTTACAATTTAAGCAATCAATCTCTCTCTCTCTCTCTCTCTCTCTCTCTCTCTCTCTCTCTCTCGTTGCATACATGCACAGGCTGTGTGTGTCACTTACACACACATGCCATAGCGCACATGTCAAGTGAGGTCAGATGACAACTTTGTGCGAGTCAGTTCTCTCTACTTTCTGGGGACCTAATTTAGGTTACCAAGGCACTATGAATAACCTCTACCGGCTGAGTCACCCCCAACTGCCTCAGGGGTGAGGTTGTGCACAGCTGTGACAATGTGGTCCATGAGGACCCCACCCCTCCTGGCAGAGCCCTGGGCAGTGCCCAGAGTCAGCTGGCAGGGAGCTTGGACAGTCTTTGGCCAAAGACACATCCCGCTGACCACAGGTGGTACCACCCTTCCCCTGCCCGGTCCCCAGGTGCGTGCAGAGGCATGGCATCGGCAAGAGGCACAAAGGAAAAATGCTGAACCACACAGAAGACAAAGGCAGAGCTGGGTTTCCCGACAGGGAGAGCCAGACCCCATGCTGAGCCAACTGCATGTGGGCCAGCAGCTGCCCCTGCGCCCCCCCCACCACCGCCCCGCTGCATCACCAATGGGAGCCGGAAAGCCAGTGTGCTGCTCCGTCCACAGGGCTGCGGTAATACCCCAGCCCCACCCCTTGCCTGGACCCTCCCAGCCCTGCTCACCCTTGATGTTCTTCACTTGCCCCTGGGTGATGGAGTCAAAGTCAAGCTCCATCAAGGACCGCAGGAAGTTGGGGTCGGACATCATGCCCTTAGCAGTTTTCCAGTTTAGCTCCTTGTAGCCTTTCATGATAAGGATGCACTCGCAGACTGTCTGCACTTGCTTTGGGGGCTTTGCGAATGACCTGGGGGACAGGAGGGCCATGTTCAGTGTAAGAAAGGCCAGGACCTAGCCAGAAGTCCTGGGGAAAGATGGGGCAGGCAGAAGGGTTCCCTAGAGGTGACTGTCTGGGAATAGAGTAGAGGCAAGGTCCCTAGAGGCAAGAAGGTGGCCCAGGAAGGGACTCATTTGCTAGCCCCACACCAAGCTCCTGGAAGACGGCAGGGAACAGAAAAACATGATGGTAGCCATTAAAATCCCAAGCCCTCGGTGCCCAGGTCATCATCGTAGCCAGACAGCTGGAGCTGCTGCACTGGGTAAAACCCTATCCCAGGTCCTGCAGCCAGTGTAGGCCCCACAGGCAGGAGCAGAGAGAGCAGAGCTGGGAGTGAGGCCAATGCTAGCCCAGCCTTGAGGGTCAGTATGCTCAGAACCGGCCCTGGCTGACCAGGGAAAGCCTTGGCTTTACAGGGCATTTGGACACTAATGGTGGTCGGTGACAAGACAGGTCTATCAAGAAGGCCAGGGAAGAGAAAGCCCATGCGTCTACACATACAGGCAGGAGCAGACATGGCCTGGTGGGTCCTAAGCTGTGGGCAAGTTAGGGACCAGCCAGGGGTCAAAGTTTTCCTCCCTATAAAGCAGGAATATAGAGCCAGAAGCCCCCGGCTCCAGCTCCCGTGAGTCCATTCAAGTGATGCATTCCACTTCCAGTCATGATCCAGGATCTAATTTACCCAGAATCCTCTGTTTTCTCAGAATGCCGTACAGATGGAACACTGGAAACACCCAGCTCATAAGAAATAAGATTTGAGCCGGATGGTGGGTGGTGCATGCCTTTAATCCCAGCACTCGGGAGGCAGAGGCAGGTAGATCTCTGAGTTCAAGAACAGCCTGGTCTACAGAGCAAGTTCTAGGACAGCCAGAGCTACACAGAGAAACCCTGTCTCGGAAAACCAAAAAAAAAAAAAAAAAAAAAAAAAAAAAAAAAAAAAGGATTTGATAGTTGGTTTTCAAAAGTGCCTCCAACCAGCTCAGGTCAAAACGGATGAACAGTACTGACCCCTGGGCATGAAATAAACTGCTTTCACTACGTGGAGTCTGGTGCTCTTATTGTGAAGTGGTGATCTTTGTCACAGAGGTTACAAGGTAGAGAAATGGACATGTTGGGTTTCACACAGTGACCTTGCCTGCAGGGACCACGGAAACTGAAGGAAACATCTGCAGAGACAGACCCTGATAGTGACCTCTTAGCCAGTTTTGGTGACTCGGTGTTCTCCCCCGCCGCCACCAGGTTTAGGTCCTGTTCCCTGATTAGCTCGATTTTTTTTTCCCTGCTGGCATTCTACAAATCTGGGCTGCTGAGCACAGGGTGCATTAGAATTCAACAGAGGCTTCGGCAGTGCCCTCAGGACTTGCCAGGAACCGCTGGCACCTGAGGCTTGTAGCTTGAGCCAGCCTCCACAACTGCACCGGCACCTGAAGCCTGAGGGGACTTGTCCCTGAGTCACTCAGCCCTTAGCGACCCTATGCTGCTGCGGCAGGCAGGAATTTGTTCCCTTGGCAGGTTCCAGCCTCCAGATGCCAGACACGAAGCTCCCCAAGTCTGTGGGGTGGCAACCAGAGCCACAGGCCTGCTCTGCCTCTCCCAGCCTCCAGAACCTGAGCTGTGACCCTTCCTACAGTCGCAACACACCCGAGAGCGGGCCTGGGTCCCGCATCTCAGCCAGCATCCCATTGCTACCGTGGGTTCAAACTCATCTCATTTAAATCCCAAATGGCAGTCTATTTGTTAACTCTGACTTACGATAAAGTATCGTCCATTGGTCCCCCTTCACTATCAGCCCACTCCATTCCTGGAGGAGGATGGGACAAGAACCTGGTTGTCCAGGAGACAGTCTCCAGGGACCACCTCAGCATCACAAGTTAGTTGCAAATGGGGACTGCTGTTCCTTCTCAGGGGAGAAGCGAACACGTGCACCTTTTTGTTACCCAGAACCTTCTCATTTACACTTAAGGGTTCCCACAGGGGGGACTGAATATTCTAGAAAGACATGTTAAGGAATTAAAGACTTTGAGACTGTCCGGCTAGGACCGCTCATCATGTTTCACATTGAAATGATGCATCAAAGCCAGACTGTTGGAGGGTTAGGATCCAGATGCACACTGGACTCAGAGGAAAATACCTTATAGACACTGACAAAAGATTTAAATATATAAAAGAAAAAAAATATTTAAAAGTACAAGCTGCCGCCTTGGGGATGTTAATTTAGGTCTCACAGTGGCATTTTACCCATGTTATGGTCTAAACGCCACAATATAGAATATTCCTAAACAATGCCACATACACTAAAGCATGCGTGAGAGAAAACCAAACGCACATACAAATCTCACCCACAAAGTCAAATGCCCAAGGACAAATTCAGAAGACAGCTACAATTCCCTTTATGGATATAAAGATAAGCTCCATTTTATATAAAGTCTTTGGGTGGCTGGGAGTGATAGGGCACTTGCCTAGCATGTTTGGGTGAGACTTTGGGGTTTATTCCCTAGCAGAACACACACACACACACACACACACACACACACACACACACACACACACACCCGTGGGGGGGCAGAGTTATGGAAAAACAAAAGATAATACAGAAAGAAGGAAAGCCATGTTCTTGTCTTTTTTTTTTTTTAAGCACATATGCAAAGGGCCACCTCTAACGAAAGAAACATAAATTAAGTGGAAACCACACAC